TGATTATTGGCTGCCATTGCACTGCTTTGATCAGTATTAGGCGATGATGTCGTTGAGAGTGCCAATGACAAACGTGGCCTTTGACTGGTCTGAGTCGCATTCACTGTCGATTGACTCATTCTGAACTGATCATCAACTTCGATCATTACCGTTGATATGCTTCAATATCTACTCGCCACGTACATATCACTCAAGTTCACTCTCAACAAATCCATTCAAATTATATTTTATGATGCTTGTGATAAACGATAAAAATCATATCTAAATGTTACTACGATAAATGGAAATTTCTTCACCATGGATTATTACAATGATAAATGAAATGTTACAATGAAATAACATTTGCCCAGTCCCCGCAACTGACTTTGCTTCGCGCTTTATTACCAAAACAAGTATGACAAGATCTATAAATTAGCAATTCGAAGTTCAATTTGTAAGGTTCAAAAAAATTTTATCATCGAAAACAATAGTTATGAACGAAATTCATTGCCTCACTGACGGCGGTTGAATTCAGATCAGCCAGTTTCCAACAAGAGTTAACGAAATGAATTAATATATGTGACAAGAGAGTAGAACTGCTCATCTCATAATGCGAAAATACTTGATCAGTGTTGACCAGACGGATCGTTTCACCGAAGCAAATGAAGAAAAGGTTGCCGAAGGATAAGTGTTTATTATGAAGACATCAAAAACACAATAATCATTCGAAAGCACTCATCGATATCGTAAAAATCCACCTAATTACTATCAAAACACTAAAGCATAGCTATACAACGATAAGCATTATGAATTGTTATCTGAAGACAGCCAAATAGCGAAGATATCGTATGAGTGAGGTAAACTTGAGCACAGTAAGAACACTCGGTTGATGGCAATAATAACAATTACGTTCAATATTCAACGAGAAACAGAATCAAATAAGAGTTGGATGCATGCGGACCAATATCTGCGTGCACTGCAAAATGAGATTAATACCTAAAATTTGTTCAATTTATTACGATATCCAAAAGTGATATATTTGTAATAATAATCAATTTACTGACTAAAACAACTCACATAAAACTTTCTACTATACATTTACAGAAATCAATCACACATAATGCGCTATTTTTAACGGAATATTCGACGGCAATGCGAAACAAATTTTAAAACGACAGAAATTTGAAAATAATTTTGGCAATAAAATTCAATGCACAATAACGAAGTAACATCCAACACAAATTAAATTCAGAGCGAGATGAAAAAAAANAAAAAAAAGAGTTGATAAGCTAATCAACAACTATCCTGAAGTATAATCAATATCAACAAAATTAATAATACTCGATATCAATGATAATAATTATTAATAATCTTAGCAATAATTAAATCTGGTGTTTGCTGTTATACTTATCAAGTGAATTACTGACAATATTACGAATATCATGAGGAAGTGATTTATTGTTGAGCCATCTCTCGATAAGACTACGGAACTGTTGATGTTTGATCGCATTTTCGAGATATTCAATTGATGAACTGCGTTCACCATCTCTCAACAGTTTAATTGCCATAAAGTACTCGGCTCTTGAACATCCCATATCAGCTGATTGCTTCATTAAACTGATACCATACTCTCGATCCTTCTCAGTACCGATACCTCGGATATAACATACGGCTAGTTGGTACAACGATAACGCATGACCTAATTTCGATGCCCTCTTCCACAGCAATATCGCCTTGAAATTTTGTATCGATTCAATTAGCTTTCATAATTATCAATCTGATATTTATGTTATATCTGATAACAAGAGCAAATCTTGTCGTTACATGAACACAACAAAATCATTCAACAAATATGTGTGTGCTGTGCCATCCAAGGAATGTGCTTTGAAAAATACTCTTCCATGTTAAGAGAATACTACCAAAAGCGAACGATCAAAATACGATTGTTATAAATGGCTAATGAAAAGTGAATGAATTAATGAGATAGTGATCAGAATGAAGAAGCAATCTGAAAATTACATTTGATAAATTTTTCTTCACGAACGTTCCATTCGAATAGCACAGAGCAATATTATACATGGCGTCTGCACAACCAATATTCGCTGCCTTTATCCAGCTTTCTAATGCCTCTTTTCCTAGATGTTCAGCTGCCATTTCCAAACCAAGTTCATTGTCTACGAATCCTCTGCAAACACGTGAGGGGCATGTTTAATTGGAAAATTCAATTTAAAAAAAGCTTCATTCTGAACAGTGGAAATCCCTTTCTGTCTAGACCAAGAGATCGATAGAGTCACTCATCGTTATTAGTCTATAGCACATATCAATCAAATAAATCCTTTCAGTCAATAGATTTGATAAATAATCGACAGATAATGAAACGTTTTAAACACAATTATCACACAGTACCCTCAACGAACGAACTGCTAAACATTCACCTCCTTATTTCCATCCACTCCAGTGTGATCAGAATAATGCTATCAATGGCAATACACCAGTAAATCTACTGTTAACAGGTGATGTGAGGATAGATAGATGTTCAGTTTGTAACAGACAAATCTGCATAAATACCGGCATCCCCTTATAAATAACAGTAATATAACTGAACGAATCACAAGAAATGAAAAACAAACTTGAATTGATTGATCATATCATTCACATCGTTCTGCCATCCTTTGCTTGTCAGATCTTTATTCAGTAACTCAGTTTGCACAGCTGCTTCTGAGGTGTTTA